GCGGCCCTGTCCTCGACCAGGCCTCCACCCCCAGGAAGCAGCCCGTGACAGCTGACTAACACCCAGTTACCTATTTTACTGCTAGGTAACAGGAGCATAGGGTGAAAGAAACTCTGCCCAATGTTTCTTGCCGGCGCCTGGGATCGAACCCAGGACCACAGGATCACAAGTCCCGCGTGCTGTCTGCTCGGCCGACCGGCTCCAAAGGACCAAAGGGGAGGGGAGGACCAAAGACGGGAGTGGGGCACGGTGGGAAGGAAGAGGGGATGGTTGAGTGGGGAATGGTGGGGAGGGATGGTGTGGAGGACTGGGGGACGGAAGGTTGCTGTGGCTCAGCAACGCACATGCGTTGCTGAGCCACAGCAATGCTTGGCTGGGTACTGATAGTTTACAATATTTCTGAAAATGTATAGTAAATACCAAATATCAATTGAGCTATCAGGTCTATGGTTAAATATTGGGTCTATAAGATAGCCTTTATCTGCCACATTTGTACAACTATGGCACCGCATACCCACCCACTCGCAGGTGGTGAATGGTTGGTCATAAGTATAGTATACTACTACACCCTCTGAACAAACTTGATCAAGCTTCATTCTGGAGTGCTTAAAAGTGACTAATCACTACGTCCTCTGATGTATAGAAAGATGTACCTTAACCCTTAGACAGCAGTTAGCGTCATTCATGGTTTCATGGGATAATGCTGTTATCGTACGACAATTTAAACTATTGTCTGGGTTTTATCTGCGAATGTAATGGATTTTCCTTGACCCATGAAAAATCCTGCAATCATTTCATGGTATGTGCACTAGGTGAATGTAGTGCAAATATTACTAGGGAAATGAGGTTGTCTTTATAAGACTATTTGAACAATTACCGTCTAGGTTTTACATGATGCATATGAAAATAGCTGTGGATGCGAGTGTTTACCTTGACCCATGAAAAAATCCTGCTACGATTTCATGGTTACGTGTACTAGGAGGAGCCTGCCATTATGTGCCACATTGGCAGCTTACACTTCTTTCAATCTATACTCCCACCCATATGGTGCCAATTAGGCCACATATCGCCCAGATACTACCACCATTGTATATTATGGTCATATCCTTTTCACTACCCACTGGTTGTAATGGAGTATACCAGGTAAATCAATCAGTTGATACATGTTATTGAAAATTATGTAAATTATGCAATTTATAAAGTTATGCAACATACTCTTGTAAATTAAGAGAAACAGGTGATAAACAATCAAGCGAAACATCCGACGATAACACAGGAAATGTCCGAGGATAACACAGGAAACGTCGGCAGAGTTTGGCACGGTGTTGACAGGCACCAGACAGCCAAAACACCTTTTGAGAGCACCTTCACAGTGAAACAACAAATATTCACATTCATGCATTTTTTTACATTTTGCAAACAAGTTTATAATTCTATAATGAAAAATGTTAATTTTGACGCTTTTTTGAGCATAGGCAGGTACTGCATGACAATTTCTCATTAGCCGCTGTAAGCAAGTTTAAACTAGCAAAAGATCTAGTGGCAGTACAGACTAGTACGTAGTTGCGTTGCACCAGTCATGGTTTGCATTTTTAAGTGCAGCAAATTTAGGCTGGAAAGATTTTAATTAAAATACAGTACTATATTTCCATTTGCAGGCTTTAGTAATCCTGGCTAAACCTATGGTGCTGATCCAACCCATCCTCAGACCAAGTCCATTCCATCCAGCTGTTGACCCCAAAGATGCATTCACCAATTTTAACACTTTCGCGCTCTCGGCGCTCAAAAAAAAAAAAAATACCCCAAATGCTTTCGGCACTCCGCGCGCCTACGCGGTAAGACCGAAAAAGTGTACACTCTTTTGACTGTCCTGACAATAATTGAAGGCGCACGTATTTAAATTTGGTATCACTGTGTTCGCAATGAAATTGTCTATAAGAGCATACCTATAAAATGCCGCCCAAGCATAAGGAGTATCAACACCAAATAAAAACTATGCAGATCACTCGCCGAGAGCGCCAAACAGCAACAAAATGTTTCCACTCTCTTAATGGTTGCGAAGCCTACAGTTGTCCTACATCGCTAATTTTGGTATCATTGGAATCGCAATAAAATTCTCTACACGGACATATGCATATGAATGTTTAATATTAGGTAATTGCCCACCCGCAAGTGTGTGTGAAGTGGAGAGTAGTTAGCCGCGAGCGCACTGGCGAAAACACAGGGGGGAAATCATGCTTGGAAAGTTTATACGTTTCCTGACCCTACTTTTCTACGTACGTATTTCTTTTTTATACCACATGCTTGGAAAGTTTATACGTTTCCTGACCCTACTTTTCTACGTACGTATTTCTTTTTTATACCAATGTGTTCGCAATAAAATTTTCTATAAGATGAACTGTATAACATTTGTACAAAGCATGTGTAAGAGAAGCGCCAAATATAGAACCACGTTGCTCAGTATGCGTTCGCGGCAGAAACGAACGCATTGTTTTCGTTCGTTTGATGTTTGTCATGTTTATACTTGTTGAAACATTTTATAATTTGTATGACAGTGATCGCAGTAAAATTCCCTACACAGACATATACATAACACACACAAATATTTCCCACGTGTTGGATATATCAACGGCTAAAGGGAACCCACTGCCACACGCTCGCCACCCCCCCAAACATACTTTGTGTATTTTTTTTTTACTCATAGAAGTTTGTGATATAATATTCATTCTTGTACCAAAAAATTCGCAAATAAATTCTCTACAAAACAAAAGTATCCCCATCCATTTCGGTTAAAAAATGGAATTTATAGAAATATTTTTTCGATGGACGAGAAAAGTAGGCTGTTATGCGGAATCGTAAGAAAAAACAGCGACGAGTTATCTAATCTAAAGCGCGAAAGTGTTAACATGCTGTTCATTCAAAATAGGAATTTTCTCAAATATAAATTAAGATTGTTATATATTAGCATACTGTGCATATTCAGGCATTGGTTAGGTTCTGTTGGCAATTATTTGTAATACATGGGTGAAGCCTTTACAGTCTTGATGTTCAAAACAAGTCATCAACGAAGCACTTGCTCTTGAAGTGCTTCGTTGGAAGTTCAAACATCAGTTGCAAGTCTTGTGTAAACCATTTTTCATTTATGAACAGGATTTGGCAGGTGCATTGGAACTTTGACCTTTGTTTCTGAGGACGGGCTGGCTGGTCAGTTTGCCGCCAGCAGCAGCAATGGCATGAGCAGATGCTTCCCACATGATCTGCAGTATTTGCAAAATAGCCCCCACAAATTACATACTGTACTCTAAAGTAGTGCCAGCATTTATCTAGGATAACTAATTATATGAATACTTTTATGATTTGTGTGAATGTGACCAAAGAGACAAATCTTGAGACCAAAGACATCACATTGTGTTAGTGGAATGTGTACTTAATCTGCATGCAAAGAAGAATATGGTAAATGTGGAAAACACATCATTGACAATATTTTTCAAATATATAGCAAGAGACTTAGGCATATATTACTTTATACAAGAGGTAAATTAGCTTATTAAACAGTGTACAAGCAGTTTCAACATGTATAACTACTGAAAAGTAAAAATAAATGCACCAGGTACAATAGGTTAACGAGCGAGGCTATACAGCTGGATCTTACTTTTCCCCACACAAGCTGGTAAGCACTGATTTTTAAAGTCAGTGGCAGCAAAATTAGCTTTTGAGCACATCAGCCTATTGCAAGAATATTAACTCAATTTTACATAAACAAGCAGTGAAGATCTTTTTTTTAAACTTCCTAGTACAAGGAATCGAATTACAATTCCTAGTACAAGGAATTGTGAATATCTATAATGAAAGGCAAAACCATTTCACTCTGCAAATGCACCATAGCATGGTAAAATCTAGAATGATTCATTTTCCACGAGTTGCTTGTTTCTGCCTTATTTGAATCATGGGGAATGAGACAGGGTTTTTAAAATTGTTACAAAGTTTAATTGATGTGCATATAAAGCAGATGAAATGGCAATTCTGATATGAATGGTCAACTATTCAACATGTGCAGTCATGTCTCAAATTTTACCTTCCATACACAGTATTATAACCTGAACTAGAGATTACCTAAACAGTAACAAAACCCTTTAATGCTTTTGTGACTACAGTCATTTGCTAAAAAGGCAAGAAAGTTCCAATGACTGGTCATTTTACCAAGTCAAGTAGGTTATCTAACTTAATTTGCCTGTCATTTTATTTTGCTTTTATTGCATTTTCATTACATTTTTTTTAAATATAAAAGTACAACTTAAAAAATTATACCAAACTGAACACTTTACCATGCATAGTAAATTTGCAGTATGCATTGGAGGTAAAATACCACCCATCATATTTGCACTAGCCTCAAGGAGTTTGTAGCACCAAAAATTAAGGGCACAAACAAAAGGGTTAATTATTAACCTTTGCATTGTGCATACCATCTTCAGACATTTGACCCATTATGGAAATAGCATCCCAAGATGCTTTTGCGTACCCTGCAGCATTTAAATTTCCCATGGGGGCAGCGTTTCCAATCAATAACCGAGCCTTCAGTAAACCTCTGTCGGCTTTAAACAATCTAGAGTAACAGCCATGACCATAGGCAGCAAATTTGAATAGGGGGGGGGATCTAGTGTCAACAGTTGTTGTGCAATTGTTCATAATTGCACAAGTTGAATTGGATGTGCTTTCCATGTAATTCTGATTGCAACCAAGGAGCTTGTTTAAGATGTAATGGTCGAGAATCTTGTTCATTACATTTTCTTTTTTACATTTTTTCCCATGTTCAGTCCATAGTTTATAGGAAACAATCCCTTTGCACATGCTTCAACCCTTGTGCAGTTTAGGTTAATACATACATATGTTCTACAATCAATAAAACTTAAATGACCTGAATACACTATCACCAAGAATAGATCATTTATGTTAGCCTTTAGTGCATAATAAATTTTACGACATTTAAACCTCATTCTTACCTTCTCAAAAAGCATGGCCTCTGTGCAGTCTGCATGGAGATCTCCAACATAAAGGGAGGCTAAAGGATAGCTAGGGCCACTGGGATTCATTTTGCAGCCAAGTTACACCTGAAATATTAAATGCATAAACTTAATTGTTAAATGCAAGTACAGCTGCAGTCTACTAATACTTACATAACTGGTATTCAAACTAAATGACTGCAGCAATGCTATATATATATATATATACAGAATATGGTATTTTTGGGAACAGTTGTGTTTATCAACCACTAAATTTACAGCAGTCCGTGCAAGAAATGAAAGAAATATAACGAGCAACTATAATAAGGAACCAAGCTGGGTCAGTAATCAGGCCTTGGGAGGACAGCAATATGAGCCTAACGTACAGACGTACGTGCCATTACGAGTCGTCAAATTATTCCACACATTCTTGTAAATAAAGAATAAGTGATAGTGAAACATCCGAGAAGACAGGAATAATTAATGTCTAGTATACTTCGGTGTCAGCAACGAGGGCATTGTGCGCGACACGCACATCACCGCCACCCGCAATCCTTCACAACTTCACTGTCTTCCATTATGCATGCTTTTTTTTTTTTTTTTTTGTGCACAGATTTTCCCATTGCACTGTTCAAGGGTTTAATAAAGTCATTGATCTCAGACCACCACACAGCCTTTTTCATTATTTACCATTTTTTATAACCAGATTAAAGTAAAATACAAATGGATACAATCAAACCATAAATTTTGTAACCACTATGCAGAGGTACTCGCGTAGTGGGGGCCGGCAGAAAAGGGTACATTTAGTAACCAAGTGGACCGTTAAGTCTGGCCAGTAAATGGATGCGTAACTGCACAGCCTCTAACCTTACAGGACTTGCCTAAAGGGACTTACATCATCCTAAAAGTTCAACGGTCGAACCATATGGGTTAGGTCAGGGCAATTAATTTTAAAGAGAAAAATCACTTGCCGTGACCACACTAAAACTATGATTAATTAGTAAATTCTGTATGAGAAATCAAAGAGTATGACTTATATTTTTCCCCCATAATTTCACAATTTGTAAACTCTCTAGTAAAACCAGACTATAAAACCGTGCTCAATTCTGAAGATACTCCCGAGGGGTTCCTAAGGGGTCCTAAAGTTCCTATAAGTAGGGCCAGCTGCTTGAAATCTTACAAAGCATCTTATGTACCAAGTGACTAACCTTGTGTACCAAGTGACTAACCTCGTGTACCAGACACACACACCAGCTGGCGGGCACCACCTGGGACCACACAGACCTACAGTTAAGGGACCAGCTGTGGGGCTCCCCCCCCCCCCCCACACACACACACGGGGTACTGCCACAACCCACCACAACACAGCTGGCTACCACACCCCGCCAGTGTGGTGGAGGGGGGCCAGGAGGGGGGCAGGCAGCAGGGTGAGAGGGGGCGCCAGGAGGCGACACACGAGTGAGAGAGGCGGCGGCCATGACACCCTCCTCACCCTCACCCTCACAATATGGACCCTTCCTCACGCCTCACCCTCCCTCACCCCACACCCTCACCTGCCTCACACCCCACGCCACCACCTGCCTCACCGGTACACACACTCACCTAGCCTCAACACCCAACAATAAACAACTCACAAGTCTCTAATACTCACCAACAATGTCACGAACACAAACTTGCTTCTTTTATACTTCTGTTTCTAAAACCGTTTGCAATTTTTATGGGGGGATTTTGTTATTTTATATTTTTTTTGTTATTTTTTTTAGTTTTTTGACAAAGATTTTATCGAGTGGTGTGTGATACTAATAAAATTAGCGACACACAACCACACGTGAACAGACCCTACGTTAAATGAAATAGGGGTAGGCCAAGCGCCGCTCCCGGGGGTATATATAGCCTCGCGCCGCCTCCCCGCCACCACCCTCCGCCGCACAAACTGCGCCCCTCTCATGCCCGCCACCAGCCTCGCTCGCCACCTATTACACTTCTATATCACCTTTCCCGGCACCTAGTGACGATCTATAGTCTACGTTGTGTTATTATTCGTAGGTTATTATCATGTATGTCTGCTTAATTGGGGTGAACAGAGCCCTGACGTCGTTGTGAAAGTGGTATTATTCCGCCGATATATCACTTCCTTGTAAGCATTTCTGGATACGTATTATTTATATTTTTATTCTGTGGCCCATGTAATATTTAGAGATCTCTGTTGCAAGAATAATAATTAGGAAATGTAGAAGAATTGAAAGAAAATTCAATTTGTCAAGGATTTAGAGCCAGTTAGAGTAATAATAATCAATATTCTCGCACATCAGTACCAAGGTTACTAACTGGAACGTGACTCTTACCGTACACTTTGGACAATATTTTAAAATTCCTTCATATACTTTTAATGACTGCTAATCTATAATGAAAAATATAACAAAAATTGGCAATTGATAGCAGCTTAATTCTGTCAACAATGTAATTAACGTGAATATTAATTAATGCAGGAAAAATGTCCAAGCAGTTAGGGGTAACTCTGTTGGGTCTGGCCAATGGTTGGAATGGTGACCGCGTGGCCACAACATCAACTTTGACTGTTTTCCGAACGCTATGAAATTAAAAAGTACTAAAAATTAGGCATTGGTGGTCCATCACTACAAATTGGTTCTTTCAACCAAATAGTTGCTATAATTAATATAATTTCAGGATATATGTATGTATACAGTATATATATATATACACACAAGGACAAATGGGGGATCTTTGACAAGCCGCCGGCATATTGTTTTCGTCGAGGCCACGAGAGAGAGATTATGCCCCTCAGGTAAATTCAGGTAAGACACACATACGAGATGACTTTCATTCCGAGAACAGCTGGTTCAGAGGACTGATCACACACACACACACACACACACAAAGTTAGTTAGTAGTTAGTAAGAGTTGATTGATTGACAGTTGAGAGGCGGGCCGAAAGAGCAGAGCTCAACCCCCGCAAACACAACTAGGTGAATACAGCGGCGTGTGTGCAGACACTAGATGAGTACACACACACGCGCACACACACCAGAGTAGTTAACAGATGGAATGCATTAGGCAGTGATGTGGTGGAGGGTGACTAGATATGATAGCGCCCAATAGGCTCAGGAACCTGTACACCAGTTGATTGATAATTGAGAGGCGGGACTAAAGAGCCAAACCTCAACCCCCGCAAGCACAACTAGGCTAGTACAAACATAGACCCTCATCCATGTGGGTCACATGGATGAGGGACCCTCATCCAACGTTGCATGTGACGTTGAAGCCTCATCCCTCCTTAAGGCATCACAAAGCAGGGATTGAGAAAGTCAGAACTAGAGGAGACTTGCTGTAGTCTTGTAGAAAACTTTTGAACTTTCTCAATCTTCGTTTTGTGTTTTTTATTATAATAACGACATTGGATGAAAAGATAAATAAAGTGGACATGATCTAGACATACAAAGCACTCAGAGATATCAAGACATCATCTTGATGATGACTCAGAGATACTTGCCAGCTTTGTAATAGTCAAAAAATATAAATTATTAAGGTTTCAGCGTGACCTATTTCCTCAGCTGGAGAGCAATATAAGGACAGCCACGGTGAGGCCAAAGGAAAATCTCTTGCTGAAAAGCTAGTTTAGCTCATTAATTATGCACCCTATACCCATCTTGTGGGCGGCGTGACAAGTACTTCCTTTGTTTGTCACAGGAAGAACGTCCGTGTCACGGGTCACGAACCCTGAGCCTGAGTATCCAAGCAGGTCTTACAAGTTACTTAGTCTGCAGGAAGAAGATCAAAGGAACTGTGATCGCACACTAACAATTAAATATGACCCATCATTAGGAAAAAAATAGAAAGTGCCGGACCAATCGGGCTGTGGTGAATATCTGCGGGCCGCTCCAAGCAAGAGCCTGGTGGACCAAACTCTCACAAGTCAAGCGTGGCCTCGGGCCGGGCTTGGGGGAGTAAAGAACTCCCAGAACTCCATTAAGCAAGTAAGAAAACAAATATTTCCTGCTATGTCCCAGGGAGCTATATCTTAGTGCGACCTTGCCGTAGTAGATACGATGAAGACCAAGGACCAATAGATTGGTTAGAAAGGCGGGGGGCAGGAGCTAATAGCTCGATTCTGCAGACAGAAATAGTAAATACACACGCACTGGAACAACGGGGACACCATGAATGTCGGTCTCATTTTGTAACCAAACACACACACACACGGAAGACCTACACCATGTTACTATCATTGTCCGCCGTATTAATAGGTGCACAATTATACATTATCGCTCATGATCTAATTATTTAGGTTAATGGAGAGTCATTAAGCTAAGCTTCAAGGTAATTCATCTTGATGGAACTTGCAGGTTTGGTGTGTGAGTGTGTGCGTTGGTGAGTGTGAGTGTGTGGGTGCGTGTGTGTATGAGAGTGAGAGAGTGTGTGTGGGTGAGTGTGTGTGTGTGGCAACAAGAGACACTGTGCAAGGTAAGCAGGCCGCCCCCCCCCCTCCACATTCTTCGCGTCACGCACCAGCCTAACTTTCACTTTACCAACTATCTCAAAGAAACCCGTGCTCCATATATATATATATATTGTTCATGTTACAGTGCACATAACGGTGAACATGTTGACCTTCATGACTTGTATATAACTGTGCATGATGAATTATGTCTCCCAACACATTTGTTAATGTTTTTCTTCTATATAGTATCGTCCATATTGTGTGTTGTACTCCTTCCTCTCTATGAGAGAGCTGTGAATGCACCATGCTAGCACAAAAATATATTTTACATTAAAAATAAAATAGATCTTGGCACTCACAGTATACAGTAAAGTTCAAGTAAGTTTATTGAGATAAGAAAGAAATACATCTCAAAGGGATCAAGCCTAAGCTACTCAAAAGTGTAGCTTAGGCTATTTCTACCCCTCAGAAATAGACTGAGAGCTGCAGGAGTAACAGCATTATAAACCAGGCATGATATGGCGGATCTCTCCCACACATTTAAAATACCGAGCAAAATGGAGGATATTAATCCCGACCACTTCTTTAAAAGGTCACATGTAACACATACAAAGGGTGGCAGCTTGAAGTTCAACAAGCTACAATGTAGGACAGAAAACAGGAGATGCTTTTTGACCTATAGGGTTACAAATCCATGGAACCGCCTACCCGCCGAAGCCGTAAGTGCCAAGACATTACGTCACTTCAAAATCGAGCGGGAAAAACAGCGGGTCAAATGGGATGACCTTTGACTGTATGAGTGACAAGCCGCCGGCTTCCTGTTCCTGTCGTGGGCTGTAAAGAATGTGGGTCTCGGGTAAATCCAGGTAATAATCCTTCTGAAATGAAACAGCCGACAGACGCTAAGTAATCCATCAGATCAAGGCCATCGAACTGTTGAAGCCTAGTTTTTTACACCGTTCCTTTGCTGATAAACGTTAAACAAATTAGTGAGGTGCGCTTCGAACGTAACACGTGAGCAAAACACTGTTCGAGAAATGGTGATCATGATCAGCTGTAAGTCGTGTGTAAAGTGTTTTTCACTCAAACAGTATGAAGTAGATGACGCATCACGCTATTAGTGATCAGCGTACACGTAAACACTCCAGTTGTTGTGACCATCAAGTACACCTTGTAAGACAAGTCCGCACAGAGACAAAAGACGCCAGCAAGACGGACAACAAATCTCATCACTCAACCTTACTTGATCTCTAAAGCCTTTCAACCATTAGACAGCACCGATCAAGAGCCTGTATCACACCGGGACCCGTGTCCTCACCCAGACACCCTACACGCGCCCCTGACCATGGTAAATATTAGCAGATTCAAGTACAGTGTCTTGTTGTTAACATCCGGGCGCCTCCGAGTAAGGGATATTACCTAATACTCATGTGACAGGTGACGTAAGTGCAATGGAAGTTGCATGTGACGTACATGCAACTTCCGGTATGTTTCCGCTCCTGGCTAGTGTCTTTGATGGAATGAACGGTTACATCAAAACGTAAGAGATTGATTTATTGACATATGAGCAAATCCACAAGGGCCGTGATGAGGGTTCGAACGTACGCCCGAGGGGATTCCAGACGCGCCTTAATCGACTGTGCCACAACACGGAAAAGAATTGCAACCGGGAGTTCATCTGGCCTTACACGGATCCTGCAGTCTCTCCGAAACACAAACCAGGGTTTTACACAATTCCCCGTGCACCCGGGCTCTGTCAGTAAGCTGTTCTACCTCTTCGAAGTAGATGAGGTAGAACAGATGAAGTATTAAACTTGTCTTATGTACTTATGTCAATAAACTGTTCTACCTCTTCGAAGTAGATGAGGTAGAACAGATGAGGTATTGACAGAGCCCGGGTGCACGGGGGAATTGTGAGGTTTGTGTCTCTGAGAGACTGCAGGAGCCGTGTGAGGGCAGATGAACTCCCGGTTGCAATTCTTTTCCGTGTCGTGGCACAGTCGATTAAGGCGTGTCCGCTCGGGTAGGTTCGAACCCTCATTTGATGCATCACGCTATTGTGATTTCTGTGTGTTATTGAGATATGCTTCTCTAAAACGTAGCTCATGGTAAAAAATCTTCCAAGAAAATTAGAATTAACCTTTTAGTTATCGTATTCAATTTGATTTCACTTTTGTTATCGTCCTTAGTGACAGGACAGTGATCCTATATTACACAAGAATAACCATCTTGAGACGCTGTTATCAAAATAAATGATTAACTTTATCCGTCCCATCTGTCAGGGTAATCACTCGACCTGCATATAACAGATATGAAATCCTTCCTTTCCGAAGGAAACTTGCATTTTGATCATACTGATGTTAATATACAGACTTATAGCCTAAACAACATAAGTCCTAAATTCACGTAATG